CAGAAAAGCCGATCAGCTGATAATTGATCAGTTTCATGATTGAAGTAGCAACAGGAGAGGGAGGGGGTGAATGAGAGAAGAAGATGCAGCTCTGCAACAAAGACACAGAATACCTCCAGCTTTGTGTCTTTTTTCATTCTAGCTGAAGTCCGGGACAAACTTTGTTTCTTTTCAGCTCAATACGAAACGTGTAATATTTTCTCTGAATACGGGACAATTCCGTTTTTTACGGGAAGGTTGGCAACTCTACTAACTAACCTTATGAATAAAATAAAGTTCACTATCAGTAGCATCATAGCACCCACCCAGCTGTATAGAAACTCTGTCATGCTAGCTAGTACACAGTACGAGTTATTGTAACTGACTGTAAAAAGTTAGCACAACGAAAATAAACTCCACCTAAACTTGGTTTATAACTGACCTAGATAGACTGCAGGTCATAACTTCTTACCTGAAGTTCAGTTCACCTGCGGCCATCTCAGGTCTCTCCTCCTCCTGCCTTCCCTCCTTTCCCTCATCCACCTGCTGGCCTCAGTGGAAGCTCCGCCATAGCCACCACCAAACAACTGTGTTATTTTTACACATCTGCCAGCATCTGGTCAATCCACCACCTTTCATTGTTTATACCATTACAAAAGACAAACAAAAAAAACCCCATGGGCCCATGAAAACGAAAAATCACAATTGGCCCACCGAGCAAATGCCCAGTATGCCCGATGGCCAGTCCAGCTATGGCCTGACTTTATTGGTCATTCACATTACTTCTTATTTACAGACAGTATATTCTGTGTGCTTTCTAATTTAAGGTGATTTCTACTTGGTCCAGTGTAATCCTGCTGTTCAGATTACTATCAACCTAGCTGTTTGCTTAATATTGATTGTTACAACAGTATTATTAATATGGAAATGGGGACAAAAGAAAACCGGTAAGTTCTAACTTTATCATACTGTTCTGACAAACGCAGATAATCATTAAATTCATGGATGCATTAGTTTGGAACTTTAAACACGTACTGATTACTAAATTTATCCCTACCTTTGGAACCAATATAATCTATATTTTTTTTAGTGTTTTAGTTTCAAATGTTTCTTAAAAACATAATATAAATATCTACCTGATATTTATTAGGTTTCATTAACACTGTTTCAGTGC